GGCGCGGCAGCGGCAGCGGCGCGGCGGCGGCGCGATGGACATCTCTGTATCATATTCATTAGTTAAAGATTCAAATTTTAATGAGAAATATTTCAAATTAGGTAGATCATTCTAAAACATACAATATATAATCAGTTTTTATCACTTTCACAAAGAAAAAACATTCACAATCAAAAATGATAGATTTATAGATTTTTAAAATTTTTCATAAATCTTTTTAATCACTCGATTATGTACAAAACTTTCTGGTAATAAATGAAAAAACATATAAACTTTTAGTAGATTAAAATATGATGAATTATATTAAGATATTATAAATCAATGAATAAATGATATTAAATAATCCTATCTATACACTTTAGTATTTTTCTATTAAATATTAAATCAAAAAATCTTACTACATTTAAGTACTTTATTCTATTTTTTTTATTATGCTAGAGAATATAACATTCGAAAGTTCTTATATGATAATGAAAGAAGAAAATTGAGAACCTTAAGCTAAAAGCAGCATTATTAGTGCAAAGCGTTTCACAGTTTGTTATTAATATGGTTGTGAAGAAATATTAGGTCACGCTTGTAAACTTTATTCTATTGACAAAACATGCATGTTGAGATTATAAAAGTCAATCACTCACAAAACAAACAATACTGAATCTTCTAACTTACTGAGTTGAATTCCATCGATGAATTATCTTTGACATTAACGATAATAATAATAAATGTAGATAATTGATTGAGACGACCATCAAGTAAACAAAGACAATCTCCAAAATGATCCACTGTAATACATAATTTAGTTAGATTTGAAGAAATAAAAGTAGTTGATGGTAAATTAATAAATGATAAAATTGGATTTCCATGAATAAATGTTCCAATACAATTCAAATAGTTAAGATTTTCAAAGAAATCAAGCAATTTTATATATACATTTGTCATCTGATCTATAGTTCCTATTTCATGATGGGAATTATTGACTAGTGTAAGATCTGTAATTTGTTTTTTGAAGTTGTGTCGGAAAAGTAATTCATCTAAATACAAAACACAAATAGATATTCTGATCTTCTATTTTTTATTCTCATAGATCTCATTCATTAGCTAAATCAATTCATAAGTTATTTACCTGTACAAAAATGTGAAAAAACATTTGCTTGAAATTTGAATATTTTGAGTTGAGTAAGATTTGGATAAACACCAGCACGTAAAATACGATCCATAGTTGTTATTGTTTCCAAAACAAGACATCTAACAGTGTATTGAATTCGAGGTAATATATCGTTACAAAATCGGTTTAGCATTGGTTCATCAATTGAATAATTATCATCATTATTGGTCAAAGCAAAATTGAGAGTATTTGTAAAAATTTCATTTTGTGCTAGAAGGTCAAGTCCTTCAACTCCTATTAATGAATAGAGAACATCCATATTGCTCAATTTTTTTAAGATCTTTAGTAATATCTCAACAGGTAGATCGA